GGCGTGTGTGCGCTCGTGTCAGCCTGCCCCTTCCAAGAAATGCCCAGTGTGCTGCCCGTGCACAATCAGAGCCCAGTCGGCACGAGTCCGGGGTGGGAGGAGGCGCCGCTGCTGGAGGCGATGGGGAGAGCGAGACAGACATGTCAGCGGCACTGCGGATGGGGCCGGGGGCCGCACTCGCTGGCGAGTTAAGTGGGGCTGGCGCTTCTGCGTGTGTGTGAGTGTGTGTTGCCGTGTGGTGCTTCTCCTCCCTCCCTTCCTTCCTTCCCACTTCCCTCCTTCGCTCCCTCCCTGCCTCTCTCCTCTCCCATTCAGGTTGGCTTTCCCACCTCTCATCCATGCCTGTCCCAGGAATGGTATAGCCAGACCTTTTCTGAATTATTTATAGACCGGTACCAGCTGTTTTCAATTCCTCTCGTGTGCACTCTGTGGGAAATGCGGGGTTTCCTCCCCCACTTTCCTTCAAACGAATTGGCATCTTTTTCGGAATGCATTTTTCTCACCCCCCGGGGAACACTCCAAACCAACCCTGACCGCCTCTTTCTCCCCCTTAGGAAGGGGACGCTTTGGGAATGACCATGCTCCACGGAGGGACGGATCCGGCCCCCAGCTTCTCCACACAGAGCCTCCTCCGCTAAAGCTCCCCAAACCGAAAACCATAATTGCCAGAAGAATCATTCAAAATCTATTCCAGCCACTAACCTCACATGCACACGGAATAATTACTCTGGATTCTGCATTGTGAGCTGCTCTCCGTACCCTGAATTACCTTTGAATGAAATCTTTTTTCTTTGAATTTGCATCTCTCCAAGACACAAGATTAAAACAAAATTTACGCTAAATTGGATTTTGAATGATCTTCCGTTCATTTATCCTTCGTCTTTCTTATGTGGATATGCAAGCGAGAAGAAGGGACTGGACATTCCCAACATGCTCACTCCCTTAATCTGTCCGTCTAGAGGTTTGGCTTCTACACACCAAGGTAGGGCAGATTCTATTTTATTTTTTCCTCACCTGGGGGAGGGATTCCTTGTTTCATCTATCTCTTCTAGTCCCTCAAATGGATCATTGGAAGAAAGGTCGCAAGATATTAAAATAATGCTGCTTTGGGGCGGGGGCGAAAGGCTTATTACAAAGAGGGGAAATCTCCCGTGTTATTTCTTTTCTCTCTCTCATCAAACAGGTTTTGGGTTTTGGGGTGCAATGGGGGGGTGGGTGCACATAGACACGGAAGATGTTAGATGGCACGAAGGATAGATATATATGCAGACACAGCCAGCCAGGAGACCTGTGTGATTTTTGAGTTAAATAGCATTTTATTCCTCCAGAGCTAAAGCTCTGATTTTTATGGGAATCTAGAAATCTTCCCCCCGCCCCAGGCTGGCTTTTCCCTCTTGTCACCTTCATGCCTCTCTGCCTGTTTTCTGTCTTTACCTTCCTAGGCATCCTTTCTATGCCCTTTAAAAAAAATCCAAATGATGATTGAGGTTACTGTGGTTGTTGCCTTGAAATCCACTTGCTGTCTAAAGGGTTGACACTGGGCCCAGAGGTCCCGGGAGGCCTATTGCAGAGGTTTAGATCCAGGTGGGGAATCAAGCTGGTCTAAGAACACCTGGAATTGAAGGATACTGCACATTGAGGGGACTTAAATCTTAAGCTCAGAAAGAAGGAATTCTGTCAATATTCTGCTTTTAATTTGTATTTTTTCCCTGTGCTATTATTTTTGAGCTGTAAATTCCTCCTTCTGTCTACACATCTATTTATACCCACATATCCTCCAAGCAAACTGTTACTTCCACACTCTTGCAAAATGGCTATCTTGCAGAGTTCTAAAATGCTGTGCATGTGGAAGGGGTGCAGAATTCGACACGTGAGTCTTTGTGTTAAACAAAGAGATGTGCTGTTTGCATGTGTTAATCTTGTACCTTTAAAAATGGAATTCATACTTTAATTTTTTCCTTTTCATCAGTTTTTACAATATGTGAAATGTGGTCAGGCAGTGTTTTAATGTACTTGAAAAGAGAAATAACAGGAGAAATGAATAAGACTTAGCTAATGACTCTTCAGCCAGTCACTCATGCAATCCAAGACAACTCCTGAGAAAATCAGATCATCCACGGGCTGGAGGGCCATGATGGTGAGTGGGCTGCCCCTCTCCTTGCTCCACTGAGCATACATCCCCGAACTCTGAAGGTGTGCAAATGCAGGAATCAGGCGGGGATAAAGATTTTCAAGAATATGTAGCAGAATCTTTAGCATCAATAGTCTTTCTAAAAGTAATCCCCCCATTGTTTTCTGACTCTTAAAATAACAATTCTTTGGGATAATCCAAAATACTAAAGGGATATGGGGGAAGTGGTGGAGGGTCCTTGTGACAATGTGACAGTAGGACAGTTCTTCATTGTCTAGGAAGGATAGATGTCATCCAAAGTCACTATCCTTCTCCCCCAAGGTTTCATTCTTTTGAGCTTTTATTGCTGAAATGCTAATGTGTAACCATGGTGTAATGGGAGTGCGAGGGTGGGGATTCCACTTTGAACCATATTCTCACCATGTCTAATGTAGCTGAGGTGATCTGGTGTGTGCTCACCTTAGAGACATCTAAGCTGGTTCCTCATCTGTTTCTACTCCTTCAAGTAGGAGGATGGACCCTTAATTTTACTTCAAAATAGAACAGAGGTATAGGTGAGAAAGGCAGCTCCATGTGCAGTGATTTCATATGTAAGATGGACAAGGAGAGGAAATTGATAAGGCACACGACCTTTGTGCATCCCTGGTGCCTACAACACCAGTGCTCTATACCTGCAGGTCCTTCAGAATATTTGTTGTTGATGAGGCTGACAAGGAGACCTTTTGACAATGTCTCAACCACCTCATTCATCTTGATGCCAATGGGATTAAGCCAGGTTCCAGGCTGTCATTAGCTGATCCTAAGACTAGGCAAAGGAGGAGAGGTTAAAAGCGGAAAGCGGAAGAAGAGAAGGGAAAGTGAGTGGGGAAGCTATAAAGGAAAAGGAGTGGTAGTCCGAAGGAAAGGGCTTGTTAGCATTCAAAGAAGAGTTGCCACAGGTGGCTCGTACCTTTTGGACATCCAAAGAGACTCTGCTGAGAAGGCAGGTGTTCCCCATCCTCACCAGCAGTCTCCGTGAGGCTGTGACTCAGTGGTGTTCGGGGCCATCTCAAGGCCATTGTTCTCTCCCCCTTTTTCAGCACAAAGAGCTGACTGGGTTCTATTTTGTCTTTTCTCCTTCTGCCAACCCCCCTCACAGTGTAGGTTACATGGGAGAGAAATGTGGCTGCTGGTGGAAGGAAGAGCAAATTTCATTTCAATTGAGGAGTCTCCATGATGTGCAATTAAGAAAAACATTTGGGAAATAAAGACTTCCCAGAAAAACATGGTTAAGGATGTCAGACTGGTGATTTCAAGGGAAGCAGAACCATGTGGTATCTTCTATGTCTGTGTTTCAGGTGTGGTAAATCATGGTGGATCTGTGAGCAGAGAATGATATGGCAGTCTAGAGATAGATGTTAACATCTGAGGAGAGAAGCAGGGGGTGCTACTGGATTGCCTCATCTTTCTCTCCCATTGGTTCCATCCCTAGGAATCCTGTTTGAAGAGCCTTGCTTTGCTACTGTATGTATGTAATTTTTGTCAGAGGTGTATGTAGGCAGAAAGAATATATAAGGAGGCAAAAATGACAGGAACGGAGGGGGAAGAGAAAAATCCCTCTGTTCACTACTTTGCACACCAAGTGCTTTTCTTTGAGGCTGATTGAGAAGAGCGACTTCCTCTGGAGAAGGAATGAACAGCAGGAACCTCGATTTTGTGTTTCTGCTTTACCTCCAGAAAGACGGCTTCAGACACTTGACCGTCTTCCTTGACCTTCATATACATGCACCCAGCCTTGAGTGGGGAGAACACAGTGGGCATCTGGGAGGTAGACACATGGCCTGAAATTGGCTGATGGAATGAGTGGTGTTTGATAAGAAGAAATAGAACTGGTCTGATCCAGTCGTTGGCCACATGCTGCCTTGTAAAACGCTCTTCCAGTTCCTCCATGAATATAACAAACCCAAGGGGCAGGATTTTTCTTTTCTATTTCCTTGTTTGAGAATCTGAAAATGAAGGTAACATAGCCATTGCTATAAACAGGTTAAAGCACCAATTTCGATAATGTTTATGAACTTGAAACATAAAAGAAGGCAGGAGAAAAGACAGCCAAAAATCAGTGTCTAGAAACCAGAGAAGAGAAAGAAGCCAGGTTGAACTCATCGTTCTAAAGGTGGGAAGACTTGTTCTGAATGATAGCCTCCTCTCTTTAATAATGGAGACCTAGGCTGACAGAGCACTCATCTCGTTTATCTTGTTGGGGTCAGGAGCGGATGAGCTGGAAAAATTAAGCTCCTCCCTTTCCTCAGCACCATTCTACTCCATCCTTAGGAATGCTAGAAATTTCTTCCTTTCAGTATACTACATTTGCATTCTCTGCTACTGTGCATATGATAGGATACTCATATTGTCTCTCTCTGTAAATAAATATAGATCAAAAGAGCTCCTGGCCTAATGAATAGTTCACATTTATTAAAGTGCATCTCCTCTTTGCAACCACAAGAGGAAATCTCCAGGGAGAGCAGATTAGCTGTGGAATTGATATTATCTTCCAGAAGACGGCCGAAGCTGGAAGAACAGAATGTAGTTAGGATGAGGGAGAAGACATAACTCAGATTACGTGAGTTTCTGAGGTTCGCCTGTGACTGTTAATGGTATGCGTGTGGCCATTACATAAAATGCATCATGTAGTGAACATTATAGCATTGTGAACCCAGAGATATGTGCTCAGGAACCTTTGGTTGTTTTCTTGACGTTCTCCATCCACTTTATTTGTGACCTGCCATTTTCTAGCACTTTCAGTTGAAGTTGGCAGAGAAGGGACCTAGTGCGTATGTTGTCTTCTTGTTGAAGCTCCCCATGACTGCCACCAGCAGTGTGATTGCTTTGCTTCCTGTGAGTCTTAATATACTTTATCCTAATTTTGTTTAGATGTCCTGTTCCAGAGAAGTTTCTGAGGTCCTCAAGGGCAGGGAAAGATGTGTTATTCATCTTGGAATTGTGTATTAGCATAGTGACTGGCACATAATAGATACTCAAAAATATTAAAAGAATGAATGGAAAGAAGAAGTGAAATATTAATTAGGCAATGATGCCATTTGTTGTTTGTTCTGGTGGGTATAGGAAAGGTTGAAGTCATGCTGTTAGATGAGTTCAAGAATATCAGAGCTCTGTGACACTTTAGAAAGCATCTACTCTGACCTTCCCATTAACAAAGATGAATAAACTGAGATCCAGGTATGTTAAGTGATTTGCCTAAGCTTGTGTAGCTCTCTAGTGTCAATACTTTGTTCACCACACCACCAAGTAGCGTGATATATAGAAGTTATCTGTGGATCCCTAATATCTACGCCAGTGCTTCTCAAACTTTATATCAGAATCATCTAGGGATCATGTTAAAGTGCATATTCTGATTCAATAGACCTGGGTTGGGGCCCAACATTCTGCATTTTTTCACAAGCTCCCAGGTGATGCCAAGTTGCCAAACCTTGCATCACAGGTCTACATTATCTGTACATCACTGACCTACATTACAGGTCTACATGCACCTACTTATAGACCATGGTTAACACGGGCAGTTTTATACGTATTCTACTTTTGGACATTCCAGCACTTCTGCTTTTTTTTTTTTTTTTTTTAAATCAGAAAGGAGCCTGGATATTTAAGTTCACCCATCTTCTCTCTTTTTCACTCTTCCACCCACACACATCTTTTGCCTCTTCTCTTTTCTTCCTCTGTGCTGTCTTATGCTGGTCCTTCTCAGAATTGAGTATTCTCTTTCTTATTTCTCTTTTGTTTGTCCTCGTGCTTTTTAACTTATATCTTTATTTATGTCTCTTATCTTTCACACTAACCTCTTCTTTTAACTTCAT